GCAGCATGCAGCTGTTTTAGCCTGCTCCTGGATTTAACAGGAAGTGAACATGGCTGGGAGAGCTGAATCATTAAGCAGTTTTAGTAAAAGATAACTCCTCCGTTCCCAGAGTTCTTGAGATGGAGGAGTTGGAAATAAGTTATTAGAAACAGAGAGTTGCAGCATGTCTTCACTGAACGAGGCAGCCATTTGCATAACCCAGCAGCCCCCTGGGACTTTCCTTGAGGCTTGCTGGTTGGCTTTCTGTAGACAGGCTTTGTGGAAGCCACTTTTCATTTCTCCAAAGCCAAGAAAGAGAAACAGAGAACTCCAGAGAAACCATTTTAAATAAGGACAATACCAGTGCCTTTCCCGCCTTCCTACTGATACCATCACCAAGGCTTCAATGCAGGTACTTTTATCTGCCTCATACAGAATGGAACTCTGAAAATCATTGACCGGAAGAAGAATATTTTCAAATTGGCACAAGGAGAATACATTGCTCCAGAGAAGATAGAAAATGTTTACACCAGAAGCAGACCAGTATTGCAAGTTTTTGTCCATGGGGAGAGCTTACAGGTAACACACCAGTGTCAGAGATGGCCTATGTTGGTTCTCATAGCCATAGCACATTTGTATAGCTGGGTCCCGATAAGACACCCCATACTACACAACTACATTCTGAATCATAAACATCCATGAAACAATTTGCTGGGATTATTAAAACAACTATTTCAAGAGGTAGCTTTTATTTCCCATGACTTTGTGCTCATTGGGACCCTTTGTGTCCGCTCTGAGGAGCTCCTCTGACACAAACTGTCCTTTATACGCCGCACTAAGACCGGTGTTACAGGGGCTGGGGATGGTGAGTTTCAACACGGATTGGCTGGGGATTCTTTACGATTAATGACAACTGCTCTTCGAAGAGTCCGGTCCGGCCAGACTATCTTTGCAGTGAAGTTCTGAGTGGGAGACTGTGCGGTGAGGAAAACGGAGGACCAGATTAGTCTGCTGGTCTGACCTGTCACAATAACCCATGTTCTTTCCCACAGTCGTTCCTGGTAGGAGTAGTGGTTCCTGACCCAGACTCACTTCCCTCATTTGCAGCCAAGATTGGGGTGAAGGGATCCTTTGAGGAACTGTGCCAAAACCAAGTAAGCATGGCTTAAAATGTTCAAGTAAGCATGACTGAGCACACTGAATGAGCCCCTATGGCCTACTGTGCCAGAGGGGAGGCCCTACCAGTTGTGGCATCTCTGGATTCTCTGAGCCTCCTCTCTGGAGGGATACTCTTTTTGCTTCTGTAACAGGTAACTGCACCCTAGATGGACTTAATGGTTTATTAGACCGAAAAATAGAATGGAGGGTTTAAAACACAAAATGCCGGTTTTTGTTTTGTTTTTAAGCAGTCATGTGCTGCTTGAGAGAGAAAATGGAATATAAGAGAATGGAAAATACCATATAGACAGAACCTGTTAGCTTCCGGGTTTACCTTTCCTTTTCCCTGTCTCCTTCAGTAAATGTAAAGTACATGATATACCTCAACATACTTTTTACTTTTAGGCATTGTAAGTCAGTTCTTGCTCAGCCTTGCATTTAGACCTCTTTTCAGACAGACATGCTCTAAGTGATGATTTTTGTTTTAGAGTGTAAAGGAAGCCATTTTACAAGATTTGCAGAAACTTGGGAAAGAAGGTGGCCTGAAATCCTTTGAACAGGTCTGTACTGCTCATGTCACGTTGCTCCCTCAAGTGCCACTAGAGAGTTTTATTAAAGCTCCCACTTACACTGGTTTCAAACCTTTAACTTCCAACCACCTTATTTTGGATTCACTGAAAAACAGCAGTTTATAGTTACGTATTCTGTCCCCCTTCGCTGTCCATTACTCATTCTTCCCACTCCATTTGTCCTAATGCCCAGTACAGCCCGGTTGATAGAGCGCTTGCCTAGCATGCATGGGTTCAGTCTCCAGTGTTGCATTAACCTGACATGTAGAGCACGCTAGTAACCTCACCTGTTCAGGTGGGAGGAGGATCAGAAGTTCAAGATCAATCTCACCTAGACAGTGAGTCAGGTCAGCCTGGACTATAGAGGGCCTACTGCAGAAGGGACATGGGTCTGTATCTTTACTTTTATACGGTGAACTAAACTTCGCAGTTTACCGTGGAGTAGCCAGGACACTTTGCGAATGAAATGCCAACCATCAACATGTGCCCATCTTCCAGGTCAAAAGCATCTTTGTCCACCCGGAGCCGTTCTCCATTGAAAATGGGCTTTTGACACCGACCCTGAAAGCCAAACGAGTGGAGCTCGCCAGATTCTTCCAGGCCCAGATCAAGAGCCTCTATGAGAGCACCCCGGAGTAGGTTAAGGTACCCATGGCCGGGCCTCCCGGGAGCCCAAGTATGGATCCAAACTACCCCTCCTTTCGGCTCTTCCTCACACCTGTGGTCTGTCTACTGAACCATCAAACTGTAAGATACTTACAGTGGGAGAGGCCGGCCAAGAACAAAAGCCCATTCTTCCCGGCTTAGACTTTGCTGCCGATTTAGGCCTTAGGGCTGTTTATCAACATGCTGTTCTTCCCTGTCACTTCCTCATGACCATCACCCCAGTGCCATCACTGGTTCTAGAAGGCACTCTAGGTAGGTGCCTTCTGTTTTATAAAAACCCTGCTTGCCAGCAGCTCAGCACTAACAGTGGTCCTCAACCTTCCTAACACTGCAACCCTTTCAAAAGTTCCTCATGTTGTGGTCACCTCCAACCATACAGTTATTTCATTGCTACTTCATAACTGTAATGCTGCTAGTGTTATGAAATGTAGATATCTGATATGTGACCCCCAAGGAGTCAGGATCCACGGGTTGAGAACTGCTGCTCTAACAGACCAAGAGGTTTTTAATGCGTGAGTCACGTTTTTCAGTCACTCCACGAAACTACTAATTTGAGTTTTAGCCTACCACCCACATTAATCATATTTGAGACAAACTTCTCCATACTTCTGTGTACATCAAAGTTTATGCAATGAAGGAACAATGTCGTATAACAAAGTGTTGCCTGGGCCCCTAGTAAGACTTCTGAGTTGGGAATATTAAACATGGTAAATGGTGTCGACAGAGAATGTTGTTCTAAAGTGTTATCTGCAGTGGCAGTTTTTGACACTGTCTGTTCCCTACAGTTTGCTGAGCTGGAAGTTATGGAGGAAGAAGCAGAAACTTATGTCCAGTGAACTTTTCCAGTGAATGAGGCAAGCACTGAGCTCCTCTCCGCACTGCAGGCCCATCTCTGTGAAGGACAGTCCGGATCTTTCCCCCTGGACTCCAATTCCTGCAGTATCTTACTGTCAGACGGCACGTGGTGTCTCTACTTGTAAATGTCAAATCTTTGAAATAAACTATTGCAGATATTGATGTTGTGACTGCTATCGTGTGGGTTGTGATGAGAATCAGTGGAAAATCAAGGGGTTCTTAAATTTTGGCTGTACACTAGAATCACCTGATTTGAAAATAGTAGGATGACTGGGCACTTCTCTGGGGTCCCCGAGTTAAATAGCTTTGTAGCCAGGTGTGGGGACACATACTCACAATGACAACATTCAGGAGGCCAAGGTAGGATTGCTGCAGGTCTGAGGCTAGTTTGGGCTACATAATGAGACCCTGTCTCAAAATTAACTAAACACTGTCCAGGATGATTGTGGTGACTGGGTGACTGCTGGGGTGAACTGATAGCACTTGTGCTCTTACCCTGTTACACAGTTCTGGGTAATTAACCTTTAAGGCTGGCTCATGCTCTAAGCATGCTGGCATTTTTCCTTTACTGCCTTTGTTCTATGGTTCTCTCTCTCTCCTTTTCTTTTTAGATAAGGTCTCACTATACCCCTGACTGGCCTGGAGCTTTCTATGTAGACCAGGCTGGCCTACAACTCAGCGATCCACCAGCCTCTGCCTCTGAAGTGCTGTGACTGAAGGTGTGTGCCACCAGGCCTGACTGCTGTACTATAATCTTGGCTTATATTCCTTTCTGGCTTCTAACCAGAATTTAGAATATCCATAGTTTTTCCACACCTTGAGCTCAGCAAGGCTGAAACAATGCCCCTGAAACAAAGGGAAGGCAGGACTACCTTCTAGGGCCCTTGCTGGGCTAGAGCCTTCTCAGCTCTGACTTTCTCTATGCCCCTTTCTCCAGCTGACCTCAGTGGCTGCCTTGCTGGTCTTCCAACATGCCAGGCACACCACAGTATGTGTTCTTGCCGTTTCTGTCTAAAATGCAGACACTTGCACAGGCACATGGCTTGTCTCCTCAACTGCTTTGTCAACTCAAGACCATCTTGCCTTCAGAAATGATTATATATCTGACACATGCTGACCTACTGCCCCTGCAGTGGAGGAAACACCATGCTCGCCTCACTGCCGAGTCCCCAAGTGCCCATTTCTTACTCTTACCCACTACAAGCCTGGTGACCCCAGAAGCCTTAAGTTCCTGACTGCAAAGAATTAAGGAATGCTCAATTAGTTCACACAAGGGTAGAGTAGCGGGCTTTCCCCTCTAATTCTATTTTTTTTTTTTTTTTTTTTTTTTTGGTTTTTCGAGACAGGGTTTCTCTGTGTAGCTTTGCGCCTTTCCTGGAACTCACTTTGGAGACCAGGCTGGCCTCGAACTCACAGAGATCCGCCTGGCTCTGCCTCCCGAGTGCTGGGATTAAAGGCGTGCGCCACCACCGCCCGGCTCCCCTCTAATTCTATTTACTCCCTCTTAACAAGTCCACCTTTAGATCCTAGAATTTACATAGACTTCAGGTTCTGACATTAGACACAAACAGTGTCTAGTGACTTCCACTAGGTGTAAAGCTGTTAAGCCAATCCACTAACAACAGGGCTCACATACTGAACTGAGTGTGTCATGTCTTAAGACTCATGACTCAAGATGCCAAGTCTGCACATAGTAGCGGGGCAGTGTTTCTATAAGGACGTAAGAGAAACTTTTTTACTCAGAAAAAAGAAAACACACTTTTGAGTGAAAACTATAATTTTTACAGAACATCCATTGACCTTTATTGGATTTGACAAAATCTGCATTATTAAAAGTAACAAAATTTGAGTTTATATTGAATCTGACAAGTTTTATAGACTCTAGATTATGAAAGAAATGTCAATTGAGGAAGAAACAGAACAACCACATGCAGGTAACCCTGGCTAAGGGGAACTAGATCTGCAGGTGAAGTCAGGTGTGCAGCACACAGAAACCCTAGAGAAAGTGCAATTTGCTCAGTTGGCTGGAACGACTTTCCTTCAGTAGGAAGAAGTGGAAACATGGCAGGAATTCAAAGGCATATGCAGAGTGGCTTCTGTTTCAATGGTAATCAAGATATTTAAACCATGGCACTAGAGCATCTTTGAGGAAAAGAATACCTTAAGCAAAATAGGCTTGTTGCATAATTCTTGGGTAATATGTGTGATTTTTCAAGTAATGAAGACTTAATGATCTCACATTAACAGTAGCTATCTGTTCTTCTTCTCACCCTCTGGGGCTGGATCTGATTCTCCATCACAGGGACACTTTTCCACACAGTTTCTAGGGAACCACCCTCTTATTCTTGAAGTACCTAAGGGAGAAAGTTATGCTATGGTGAAGCAGGCAGGACTAGGTGACATTACTAAGAGCAAGTTCTACTACTTCAAATGAAGATAAGCTTAGTTTGACATCCTGCTGTCCCTCATTAGTTCTCAAACACAGGTCAGGGAAAGCATGGTTTCCAAATGCTTTTGCCAAGCTAGGAAACAGACTCCCCAAATCCCATTAACTGGGAAAGGAGCTGGTGTGGCTTAGAGAGTGCATAACTGAACTGGGGTTATCAATATACGGGTGATTGTTCTGGCACACCATTACATTGTGTTCTAAGGATGACCTTTTCACAGCCTTTATGCATTTCCTTCTTTTTCTTTCTTTTTTGGGGTTTTGCTATGTAGTTCAGGCTTATGATCCTCCTGAATACTGGGATTACAGGCATGTGCTCCCAGCATATCAATTTCTATACCAAAATCACCTAAGCTGTCATATAGGGTTAACTTATAATTAACCCAAAGTATTTTCTGTAAGATCTTAGGTTAATCTTTACTTTAAAAAGAAATTAATTCAGGAAAACACACTCAATTTCAACCTTCACTTTAAGGGGCTGCAGAGATGGCCCAGGGTATCCAGGACCTGACTCTGCAGGTTTGGTTTGCAGTGTGGGCTGGGAGCAAGCTGCCTCTGCTTAGTCTCTGGGCTTCACTTCTCTCATGGATAACTAAAGGACAGCTCCTGCCTGAGACGTCCGTCAGGATTTAGTTACTTTTTAAAATTAGCACACAAAGTAATGAGTTTCTTCACAGCAACTTTATAGACTATTTTTAATGGTTCTTTTCTTCCATCCACCTCCATCATCTTCCTCCTAATCCCTCCTGCTGGTTCCCTTCCTAATAATAACCCTTTGGTCTCATATCTGTATCCAATCACCTTTTAAAAATTGTTTTCAGGGGCTGGAGAGATGGCTCAGCAGTTAAGAGCACTGGCTGCTCTTCCAGAGGACCTGCGCTCAATTCCCAGCACCCACATGGCAGCTCACAACTGTCTGTAACTCCAGTTCTAGAGGACCTGATACCCTTACATAGACATACATGCAGACACAGCACCAATGTACACAAAAAATAATTATTAAAAAACTGTTTCCCCATTTCTAGTTTAAACATAACCCAACCAACTCTAGAATCTACATATGCAAAAAAGTTGTAGTTACTTGTCTGAGTTTGGCTTATTTCACCTCACATAATGAATTTCATTTGCATCTATTTTCTTGGAAATGGCATTTCATATTTCGAATAAAATTTGACTGTGTGTATATGCTATATTTTCTCTACCCATCATCTGTCAGCAAACTTGTCGGCTGGTTCTGTTCCTTAGCCACTGTGAACGATTCAGCAATAAACGTGTGCAAGTGTCTATGTGGTAGGACCCTAGAGTCATTTAAGTATATACTACAGATGGGCACACCTAGTAATATGGCAGTTCCATTTCTAGTTTTTTTTTTTTTTTTTAGAAACCTCTATATTGACTTTCCAGGGGGCTGTAGCTCTATACTCCCAACAGCAGTGACTAAGGGTTCCTGGTCTCCACACTTTCCCCAGATTTGTTGGCAGTTGCTTACTTTCAAGGCTTGAGATACACCATTCCAAACACGCTTGACTCTTCTGGTTACTGAGAAGAGGTCTGGTTATTCCACCAGTTTGCCTTTGCCATTCCCCTTACAGCTGTTTTTCTTTGCTTTGTGTTTTTGACATCTTTCTTGGGTTCTTCTCTGGCCATGACTCTTTAGGGTTCTACATGCATCTGGTGCCCATTTCTTCCTCTTAGTTTGTGAAACTTTCTAATGTCATTGACTAAACTGCCTATGAAATTAGACTGTCTCCCTCTAGCCTGTGATTCCTAGGTTTAGTTTCTTGACTGTATCTCCGAGTTGTTGGACGCTTTTGCCTTGCTGTTTTGTTTTGTATGTAGAGTGTGTTGCTGTCTCACGTCAGCTGTCTCTAACAGCTGTCTTTCTGCCTGGTCTTTGCTATGCTTCCTTTCTACTGTTCTGTTTGTTGGTGTTCGTTTGTTTGTTTGATTGGATCTTTCTTTGTCGGTGTCTCAATTAGCTACTGACTTTCCCTGCACTTTGCCTGACTAGACCTCTGGTAACCTTCCTGTCTAGCTTCTGAGTTGTTCCTTTATTGCCTTCATCTCCTCTGTGGAGTCTTTATGAGGTCAGTGATCCTTCAAGGAAGCAGAACTCTGAAATCTTGGCCAGCAGTTCAGCTTTCTCTTAGTCTGGGGTTCTGGTACTGAGAAGCTGCAAGCTTGGGCAGGTGTCCTAGTGGCTGTGGTCTGATGTCTCAACATTTTATCTGTGTTTGTGCACCTGTTGGGACTAAGGCATCCTCTGGTATTTGCTTTCCCTTTGCCTTCGGGAGGTCTACCGGTTAGGGTCTGCACTCAGCAACAGCTGTAAAGACGGCAGTGCTGGCGGGGATCTGCATCGGGAAGGCACATGCTGACTTTTTTTTTCTTTCCTGGTTTTCTGAGACAGGGTTTCTCTGTGTAGCTTTGGAGCCTGTCCTGGAACTCACTCTGTAGCCCAGGCTGGCCTTGAACTCACAGAGATCCACCTGCCTCTGCCTCCCGAGTGCTGGGATTAAAGGCATGGGCTACCACCGCCCGGCAACATGCTGACTTTATGTCCCTGATGGGGCCTGAGTCAGCAGCACTGGGGTTTTTAGAATAAGAGTGCCAGGAAGTAGGGAAATGAACAGGGAATGGAAGGGAGGGAGTGAAGGGGTAGAATAGGAATGAGATGGAAAGTGCTTGCTCTAGAGGTCACCGAGAAGTGGGTGCACAGAAAGGAAGCACCATAAAATTCTATCCAGGCAAGACACAGGTGACAGACACAACAGAACAATAAAGCACAGAAGCCGAAATAAAACAATAAAACACGCAGAGTGCAACAGGGCATTCCGGCCCTGGCCAACACTTCCTCCTCGCTGTCTTTTATAGCAGTCTAGCAGGTAGGGGCAGGGCTGTTAGTCTCAAAATTTCAAACAAATTCCGTCAGTGTTTTCATCCCGTTGAGAGACATTTCTGTGGGAAAGCTCACTTCCCGCTGGAATTCCAAGGCCTGAGACAACTCCCCTCCACCCCTCATCAATTACAACTCTGGTTTTTGGAACTTGTTCTTTCCAAGTGCAAGGCTTTCTGTGATGAGGCCCTGAGCAAGTGTGGAGCTCTTTTTCTTGACATGCCTGCCAGAAGACACGTGGCTCACAAGAGTGGCAGGAATTCGCTTCTTATTCAGTAGCTCTGGGTGCCAACCAAGAATCGCAGCTTCAAGTTCACGTGCCAGACTTCTGTCTCCACAGCCTGCCATATACTGGCTATCTCTCCACAGACCCGAGTTACATGTCCACAGCCTGGACAGTCTCCCTCCAGCTCATTCCTCTCATAGCACCCATGCCCAGGAGGGGGCAGCACCTTCATGGAAGCTGTTGGTTGGGCCCACAGCATGAACAGCATGATGCAATAAGTTGCTGGCTTGGCTGCTTTGCAAAGAAGACCAGACCTCGGCTTAATCTTTCTCCAGCCGTTTCTCTTCTAGAAATAGGTTCTAATGTTTTTATCTTGACTCTTTTCACTGGGTCATGCCCAGGTGTCTTCTAATCTGCTATATTACCCATAGGTGCCTCCTGGGAACTTTGTAAGTATCTGCCACATAATCATGTAAGGACTTAGATGGTAGCTATTATCATAAGGACCTGATAGACATAAGTACTGGAGAGAGATCTGTAAGAAGCATCCTTGTACATAAACACAGTTCCCTAATGTGCTTTACATGTAATTACACATAAAAGTTATTCTTACAGAATTTGGAATTATTGCTAACCGTCACATACTTTAAGCATATCCTTCTATTTCCATACCTTCTATGAAGGAATCATCGAGAATTTTGTCTCCATACAACCAGTATCTGAAATATTTAAAAGATTAAATTACTTTTGAAGTTCATGTCATGTTTCCTATTAAAGAAATGCAACATTCCCATCTCTTACCTTAATCCTCTTGTTGCTAAAATGAGTTCCCCTTTCTGCAGCTGTATCCTAGGCTCCTCTGTGCAGGGGCTTGTGAAGAAGGTTTTGATTCCTCTATTCAAAGGACAACAGGCACCACTATAATCTTCTATGACTTTATAGCGAACCTGCCATCAGTGGTCAGAAGAACAATCTCAATATTTACCATATCTTAGTTCTTTCAAGCTTAAATAAGAAATTTTAGGGTCAGATTCAAACTATTCAGTGATAAAACATCTTTCCCACCATTTCCCATTTCCCATAAGGGAATGATGATCCTTGTTCTCAAGTTGTCTGAGCCGTCATTTCAAGTACGCATCTGCTAAGAATATGTTCTCCAGAGTGCTGTATCCAGGAAAACTTTCTGCAATGATAAAGTGTCTGCATGTCTCTGTCTGTGGTCTCGAATGGGTTGCTAGGTAGAGACTCGCAGCCACAGAGTGCTCAGTGTGGCCAGTACAAACAGGAACTTAATTTTCACTCTTATTTATTTTTACTTTGGACTTCCTTTGGCCCACAGGGGGCATCATCTTTACCAGTAGGTCAGTGTGCTTGCTAAGTGGTTTCATCAGCTGCACTAAAGGTATTTGTCTAGGTTGGCAATACACAATGTCTAAATGCTTTGGAAACCTCCAGTTCAAATAAAGTATTTTAAAGAAAACAAAAGCCAACAGGATGTGCTGGGCATGGTACCACATGCCTTTGATCACAGCTCTCTGGAGGCAGAGGAAGGCGGATCTCTGGGTTTAAGACTAGTCAGGGATATATAGTGAGACTATCTAAAAAAAAAGGGGGGGGGGAATTGTATCAAATTTCAACAAATATAAGGAAATATGGATCCCTGGAGCCCACATGGTGGGAGGAGACTCCCATAAGAATCTGTGCTGCACACGCATAAATAATAAACATAATAAAAGGAAATATTACTTGCTAAAAGCCAACTGTTTTAAGATACACAGAAACACAGTGCCCGACTGGAAAGAACATGAGTCAGCACTGCTGCAAATAAGTCACTTACACTTCGGACTCTCTTGTCTGCTTTTTGCTTCAACTGCTCTCTCTGTTTGGAAGGCAGAAAAGGAAAAGGTTAGGTATTCTGTCTCAGTGTTGAACAGCCTCTCCCCTCCCACCAGCAAATCCCAGCCGCTGGCGTTTGGTATTTGTTGAGCCAGTCTGGAATGGAGCCCTCTGCTCAGACTCTGCTCCCTGGAGTCTTCACCTCTGCACACTCCTGAGTGCTCGCAAGGCACCAGAACTGGGAGGTACAGTCTCTGTTCCCACAAAGCTTCTAGGCTGCCTTACTGATTTTCTAACAGATAAACGAGAAAACTCATTATTAATGAGTCTTGACTAAGCAATTCTTGCTACGTGCCCCTTTAGTCAGCAACTACTAAATAGAACTGTATTAGAACAGCCATGGAAACCACATGAAAGACAAGAGGAAAAGTTCATGAGCTACACACAAGACTGTGGCATGTGGTTAGTGTCCAGTAAGGTTGGAACTAGCCTGGGTAAGCTAGACTGCCAAGAGGGATGGGGCTGGACCAGGCCTTGGAAGGAACAACTGAGGGGTAGTTGAGAGCTGGAGATGAACAAGGCACTCATGTCACAATGCAGGACAGAAGGTAGTTCAAGGCCAGACCTGTATAAATCAGGATTAAAGAATCAGACTTTATGGCAGCCTGGAGTGTTCAGGAGAGAGTTGAAGGCCATAATACTAAGAATCTCTATAGATGTTAGTGTGGCAGGAGAACTGTTCATACAACCAATCTCCTGTACCAATAAAGCCACCTTAAATCAAAGGGTGAAGTCAGCAATTGGTTGACCGGGATTAGCCATAGAGTTCTTGGAGGACTTAGGAGGTCTTCTAGATAGACAAGGAGGAGAAGACATAGGATTTCCTGGGCTGGTAGATCAGGAAAATGTGGAAAAAGGGTCAGCCAAATGACTCTCTGCTTTCCTTAGATTTATCAGGTCTTTATCTCAATTTCTCACTCCCGAGTTTTTATCATACTGGACCGATTCAGGTAATCGTTTCATATTAGACTCATTCTGACATTGAAAACATGCACGACTATGATGTTTCAAGAAGTTGAGGGAGTTAACAAAGTAACCACCAGGAAAGAGGAAGGCTTTCTGAACAAAACTACTCACTGTTAGGCTATACTGGTCACAGCCTTCTCTTACTGGCCACTCCAGTCCATCTCCTTCAGGGACTCCTGACCATGTAAATACCTGTTTAAAGTTCTTCCATTTACTTCCCATGTCATAAGGAAAAACAAAGACTTCATCTAGTTGGTAATACTGAATGCGATCTTTAGCCTGTGGAAAACAAAGGTGTAAATCACCACTGCTTTTGCCTGCACGGGCTTTGGTAATGTTACTGAGAATACTCACTTGTGAAATTTGTATTACTCATAAAAATACTTTCTTATTGCTAGAATATAGGTAATATTGACAAAGAATATACTTTTGTCACAGTATAGAGGGGATTTGACTGAGAATACTAACCTTGTTTGTGACACTCAAGAAAGCATATGACAGGGTGTGTCTTAGGAACAAGCATTCAAAAGGCTTATGAATAACAGAATTAGCTAACTGTATCCTATGCAGAAAACCCTGCTTCTGGTTGCTTAGTAGCACAAGAGAATACAGGTAAAAAGAAATCTCCTGTTAATAGACTCAGGAGAAAGTGTAGGTTATGGACAGCCAACGGCCAGGAAGGGTTAATAGGGAGGCACTATTTTACAAAAAACAGTTTGCAGTGATGGTGAGGGAGAGTTCATAGTTTTATACCTGTTGGAGCCCAACTAGGTTTCCGAGTGGCTGAACTCAGAAGGACTGCACAAGAGGCTGATTGGACCACAAGCCAGAGTATCAGGTGTTAGTTCAGGGCTACACTTGGCTTTGTTATATACTTGTCCTTTGCCCCTCCCCTTGGCATTGTTACAAACAGCCCTTTTTAATAAAGCTCTGGCCCGATGGATTAGGATCCAGGCCCTCTTGAGGCTATCCTGTATTTTCTATCTTTTTCTCTCCCCTCTATCCTTCTATCTACTATTTCCAGCTGCTTCTACTCAAGAGTACTCTGGGGAAATGTGGGGATGTGATGGCCCCTCACATATACCATCACATACACATACACTTTATCTTCATTTACACATGCATATTCTGATGGCACAGCTCATTCTAGGCATTTAAATGGCTAGCTTTCTCTTGGAATAAAGTAGCTTTGAATTTGTTAAATTCTACTGCCACCTAGTGGTACAAACATGCATTATTTAAAGCAAGTGTAGACCCTGTGCAAACACATTCAACATTAGTGTCTGGTAATCTTAATACGTTTTTGATGAATTTCATTTCCTTATATGAAGGTTTGTCTGTGATAAAGTGCCAGCTTTAATAATTTCTAGATTAACATAAAAATATAGGGCCACGATCATTAGCAAAATAAAACAAACAAAAAACCCCTTTGTCAACATATTTATTATGCTTACCAGAAATGATATTATGAAATATGTGTTCATTAAGGGACAGCATGTGATGCAAAAGTTTCTTGTAGCTATTTATAATGTATTATGGGTGTTAGCTATTTATTGAAACAACTGTCAAACTATGATATGAATTTACTGACTTTTATAAATCCACCTTCACCCGAATAAAGGGTAATTCCTTTCCCCGTTTTTATGAACGGAAGCTCCAGGTGTTTGCAGTACAGCTCAGTGCTAAACCATTTGCCTGGCCAAATGACAATACCAGATTCTTTAAAATGGACCGAATTTCAAAACCCAAAATACTTAAAAAAAAAAAAAAAAAGACAAGGCTACTATACACTAAAAGGAAGCACAGACACACGGTGTTCTTAGCGGGGGGGGGAAAGGCAGCAAATGGTACTTAGCCAAGCTTAGAGAGTCAAGGAAGACTTCTTGGAAGAAATGATACCTAAACTATATCATGAGGGGCAGAAAATCAGGCAAAAAAAGAGGGAAGAGTATTTTAGGCAGAGGCAAGAAACATGGAAAAGATCTAGAAGTATAAGATGTACAAGCTATGAGAATGAGATGGGGCAGTGGGTAGGAAAAGACGTTGGAGAAGCAGATAAGAGGACACTGTGAGCAGTCCCATAATGCGTATAAGCTATGGAGGCTGAACTCAAACTGTCCACGCGGTCCAAAGCCTTTCCTCAGGGCTCAGGAAGGACAAACTTGTCTTTTCACTTTCCTCACATTTGTAATGGTGGTAAAACTGCCAGGAACTTAGAAGAGAGTGGCACAACCCTGTGTCAGTTATCACATAGTCAGCAAACGGACTCAACCTCTGTGCTCAGAGTCTATAATCCTGGATTCAACCAATCATGGATGGGGAGGAACAAAACTGCCCACCTGAGGCAGGCACAAGGGTGCAGACCTTTGACCCCAGAACTCTGGACTAGAGTGAGACCACATCTCAAAAATGCAAACACTTCAAAATAAATACTGCACATGCACAGAACATGTACACATCTTTTTCTCGTCTTCTTCCCTAAACAATGAGTCTAACTATTTAGTGCATTAACCAGGGTCTCCAGAGGAGCAGAACTTGAGTGTCTGGCGCGTATGTTTGCAAAGGTAAAGTCAGACCAGCACCAAGGCAGGTAGACAACTGTAGGCATCTGCAGCCAGATGAAGAAAATTCAGGCTTCCAAGTGAAAAGGAGAATTTTTGGGAAACCTATGTTCCCTGCTATGATTCTGACAACTTTCCCATATTTAAAGATATTTCTATTTTTTTTTTTTTTTTTTTTTGGTTTTTCGAGACAGGGTTTCTCTGTGTAGCTTTGCGCCTTTTCCTGGATCTCACTCTGTAGACCAGGCTGGCCTCTAACTCACAAAGATCTGCCTGCCTCTGCCTCCCAAGTGCTGGGATTAAAGGCGTGCGCCACCACCGCCCGGCAGATATTTCTATTTTTAATATAAAAGTTTTATGTTATATATAAATAATTAAATGTGAATAGTGTGAATTTTATTATAAAGGAGGACACAAAAGTCCCTGACAAGAGCTGTCCCTGTTGGCCTGGTCTGCGGCTAAGTCAACACGAGATGCTGAGTTTCAGCCACAGCACTGGGGTGTGTGGGAGGCAAGCACTCATCAAGCGTTAATGTAAAAATCAAAGAATATCTACTATAGTCTAAAGTGTCCCTCAAATACTCCAATCTTTTCTACCTACTTATCTGTATGAAGCTGGACTTTCTTCATAAACGTCAACCAAAGTAATGTCTCAACAGATTGAATGCAGATGTAGGTGTGAGATTCCAACTGTCTGTTAAGTCAGATATTAAAGAGATTTGTAAGTCTTTAAAACAAGGCCACCTTTTCTATTTTTAGTTGTCACATACAATTATTTTTTACAAAATGTTGTATTAACAGAATGGATTGTCTTTAAATTTGTTTATGAATTATTTCACTTAGAAAATATGGCCATTATCAGTGAGCACAGCACACACACAAGCTCTTTAGTAAACCTGGCAATCTGGGACCAGCAACGACTGAGACCATAGGGTTTGGGAACTGCTGTTGAAGTTAAAATCCACAGGTTGGATGCCAGGGCCTAGGCATGTTCTATAATGCTGGTGTTTCACTACAGTGCTGTTTTGTCCATCCAAACGCTAACCACACCTGAATGCTAACCACACCTACCCTGCTTAGCTCCCAAGAACAGATGAGACCAGAAGAGTTCTGACAAGCCAAATGTTGCAGGCCCGAGTTAAGTCTCATGTTTTTGGTACTTTCCCAAATGGGTTGTCTCTCTGCCTGAGAGACATCGGTAGCTCAGGGGTGTTAAGAAAGTATCCCTGTGGGAGTTCACTGAGGTAGAAAGAGGTCTAAATGCTCTCTATGCTCTCCTTTCATGTGGCATGCCAATGACCCAAGTTTTCACATCCCAGCGCCCACTAAATTAGTATTCAGTACTTTAGACTGAAGAAACAATTATTAAAATTTACCTTCTCTTCAATCCATGATTCAATAGAAGTTTTGTTTCTGAGAATAATTTTTATCTGGAAAGGAAATGTCAGTGAAATTTGAGAAGGTGGCTTTGGTTTATTTCAGATCATTATCATCATAATAATTCCAAGACAGCTTTTATTGTCCTACCCCAGAGATAAAGACATCAAAGATGGCAGAGTTAAGTTAAGTAGCAGTCAGCATGCAGCTCACCGGACTTTAAAACTCATCATGACCATCCAAAGCAACCTACACATTCCCCTCATGTTTGGTTTGAATGAGAAGCATCCTCTACAAGCTCATCTGGAATGCTTGGTCCCAAGGTGGCAGCACTAATTTAGGAGGTTCTGCAAACTAGTTGTGGGCTGGCTGGATGATGTGGCCACTGGAGATGTGTCTTTGGGTGACTGAATCGTTACTGGTTGCTGCCCACAACTCACTCCATTTCTTGTCCACCATGCTGGGGACAGCTTTCTCCTCTCCATGCTCCTTGCTGTGATGTTCTGTCTCACCGTGGGCCAGAGGCAACTTTCAAAGCCAATGACAGTAGCCCGAATTTCTGAAAGTGAGCCCAAATCAACCCTCCTCCTTAGTTGTGTCCAGTCTGTGCCAGTGACACAAAAGTTTCTAACATAGCTTATGCTTGCCTGCTGCCCTGGTTTCTCTGCTCTGATTAAGTCCACGCAAATATGGTCCATGCAAGATTTTACAGCAAGATCTTAATTTGTTTTTAATTATGATTCTTAATTTATAAGTATTAGGAAAAAAAATCCAATCTCTGCATTTCCTCAGAAACCTCTTTATTTTCATTAATAATTATGTTTACTAAACACACGAATGGGTAACCATGGGTGAATCATTTAACCTTTTTGACAATCCATTCATTTATTTGTATGGAAGACAAGTCAGTACCATTCTTCTGTTGACCTCTCCTGGGGTGATGTGAAGATCCTAACTGACTGTACGGTGAGAAAAGCTTTCTCAACCACAAAGGTTTCTACCAGTGGATATTTTCACATCACATGAATTGGTGGCTGGATATTCTGGCAAAATTACTTCAAAATTATCTACTGTACACAGGTGATGAACTAATGATCTACAGATAAACAAAAGTTCCTCTCACATACTGAAACTTTACACGCAGGTTTAGCTCTTTCTTACTGCAATCAGCCCCAACAGCATGGCAGCTTTGAGACAGGTGACCAAGAACTTTACCTGTATGAAAAACAACATCCCAACAGCGATGGTGGTCCCCAGTGCTAATCCCAAGGCAAACAAGGTGGCAGCAAATGCAGCCAATCCGAAGGGAACAATGGGAAGAGGATCTCTCCGAGCTGCACTCATGTCAATCTTGACTGTGTTCCACCCAAAGGAGAGCTGCAGGCAATAACAACGCACATGTGAAATGCTTGTGGAGCGACCGCTGTGGAAAGTGATTTACAGCACAACCAGGGCAGGAAGATGGCTCGGCAGGTAATAAGCTTGCTGTGTAAGTCTGAAGAGAGCTTAGACCCCAGCATCCACACAGAGGTGCCACCGGCATCTCCTCTACATCCAGTGTTTGGAAGGCCAGCACAGGGATCCCCAGGGAAAGCTGGCTAGCCACACTATCTTACCTCAACCTCTAAGTTCAACTGAGAGAACCTGCCTTAATGAACAAAGTGGAAAGCCATCAAGAAAGACACCCCACAACCTGGCATCAGCTTCGGACTTCCACATACATGCACCTCCACAGGACCCTACACATGTGAACATGCATGCACACAGGTACACTACCCATGGAAAAAAAATAACTTCAACAATAAAACCCCAACACGACCAAAAAGATAACAATAATGACATATTGCCAAGCCAACTGTAGCAAACAGCAGTTTCTGCTGAACACTTGGCTCCTACTGACACATTCAGTATCTTTATTTCTTTAAGTGTAAGGAATCAAACCCAGGGCCTCACACATGCTGGGCAGGAGCTCTAGCACTGAACTGTAGACAAGCACAGCTCCACCATTATTCTTCAGTACTAGTCTGTGTTGTTTCCTCAGAAGAGTGAGGCTGACGGACCCCACCAACGTGAATAGTTGTGACTAAGGAAACACTTATGCTTCCACTGTCTCCATGAGACTCTCAAATGACAGTTTCTTCCACAGCAGCAGGTACAGCAGATGCCATAACCAGCGGTCAAATCAAACGCTGGATAAACGGATCTTGCAGATGTGTAGTGCCTGTCCTGTCCAATGTTCTAGAACAGTGGCTCTCAACATGTGTGTCTCAAACCCCTATGGGGTTGCATATCAGATATGCTACACATGAAATATTTACATTATAATACACACCAGTAGCAAAATGACAGTTATGAAGTAGCCACAAAACAATTTTATGGTCGAGGGTCACTACAACATAAAGTTAGGTGCTAACATTTAAAAATCTGGAGAGCTCATATGAAAATTCTGATTCTTTAATACTAGAAGATCAGCACTGCAGGGCTGGACCTGACTGCAAACCACAACCTGGCTGAAATCACACATGGGCTGTCCTCTCTGTGGAGGACACGGACTCTCCAGTTTGCTGTGCACCTATGGCCCGCGTCCCTCCTTTACTTCCAAGCCTATTGAGGGAATTTTTTTATTTGTACAACCTCTGAACTTTCTCTCGTGGCTAAATGTCCAAGTCAACTCTAACTGTTTCTGGTTTAACGTGTTTATTTTAGGAGTGTGCTTGCTCCATGACCAAACGCACAAAGGAAAATCAATCTGTTACAGGAACTGAACAGAACAGAAAGGAAAGTACAGTGTCTTTTTCTTCTAGTTCTTTCAGCCCACCATCCTTACCACAACCACTAAGTTAGAAATGTAATGAACCATAGATAAGGGAAAACAATAAGCATAACTTCAAGTGGAGCATGAAAGGTGAGCTTCCAGAATTAAACCACCTTTCCTCACTTCCAAGATGAAGAGCTCTTTCCAAGGAAGAACTGAAGGAGAGAGCAGCAAAGCTGTGTACTGGCTAAATCACAAAAAGGGTATTTCCAAAAGGGACCTCACCAATAACCTTGGCACCATCACTGAGGCTGACAGGAATGGCAGTGCATCACCATGTCCACTCACCCGATTATAAAGCTGTGTGTACATAGTCATCACAAAAATAAAAGCAGCATGGATGCAGCCCAGAGGCACTAGCAGGAGGAACAGTGTGAACGAAGCATGGTTCTGGTGACCACAGCAGTTGTTGATCCAGGGACAGTGGTGGTCCATCTTCATTATACATCTGATAAGAAAAACGTTTTGAAGCATAAAGCAGAAAGTCCTGTCCCCTTTAGCTCTAGTTTTCAAAAGACTAAGCAAATAGAAATCCAGTATGTGCAGGAGGCACAGGGCGTTAACTATCATAAAACAGATAAATCTTTTTGGTTTTTTGAAGTTATAGTGCTGTGGGATGTCTTTCTGTATGCTGTGAATATGTGTTGCTCTCATTAGTTGATAAATAAAGCTGCATGGACCTATGGCAGGGCAGGATGGAGCCTGGAGGGGAAATCCAAGAGAGTGAAAGGAGACAAGGAGAGTAAGGGGAGACAGGGGGACGCCACAGCGCCATCCAAGGAGCAGCACGTGATGGGACACAGGTAAAGCCATGGAACACGTGGAGATACATAGATTAATAGTTATGGGTTGAGTTAAGTTATAAGAGCAAGAAGCCTGAGACATAGGCCATATAATTTGCAACTAGTATTAAGCCCCTGAGTGATTATTTTATAAATGGCTGTGGAACCTCGGGACCAGGTATGACCAGAGAAACTTATGGCTACATTATAGTGACTTCTTTAAAATTCTAAATAGCACAAGAGCAAGCAGATATTATAATAGCTTCTAAAGTAAACATGTCTAAGGCAGAGGCAGGCGGATCTCCGAGTTCGAGGCCAGCCTGGTCTACAAAGTGAGTTCCAGGACAGCCAGGGCTACTTGGAGAAACCCTGTATTGAAAAACCACCCACACCAACTACACATTTCTTATAGAAGCTGGGAGGCTCCAAAAGAGTCCCAGTACAACGAGGAAGCTGGCTGTCATTCTTAAGCTCAGAAACACCATGCCATGACTAATGTTCACACAGGACTCCAGAGAATGAGTCTAAAGCTCCCCAAACACAGCTGCACTTCCTTCCTTTCTCACAGTATGTGGTAGACTCGGAACTTCTGGTCTAAAACAACCTGAGCACAATAAAATGACAGAGCTTGTGTTCTGTCTCTTCGCTAAAGGAAAACCAGATTTTAGTTGTATCTCATGATTTCCTAAATTTCATATTCATCAACAGATGTTGCTGATAGCCAGGTCCTGGCATATTTTGCATTTTTTTTATATAGAGATTCAGTTTTCTTCCCATTAAATTTTTGATAATACATATGAATGAATCTGAGAAAACCAGTATAATTCAGACTCAGAATAATTCTGAAGCTAGTCAACATGGCAATTAATGAATGCAACTAATTCTGATACAGCAAATGAGAAAAACTAAAAGGAAAGCTTTTACTTTGCTAATCATAGGATGAGAAGCAAAGGTATATCTATTTTTCTAGAAAAATCTTTTCCTTATAACAACAAAAGAATGAAATAATCTCCGTTGACATTTAACTGCAAAAGAGTCTTAGAGACGCAAGTATTTTGATAGTATTTTTGACTAAATGGATTCCTTGCTGGTTAGTTTTTGTTAACTTGTCCCAAACCTACATATACCTGGGAAGAGGGGTTCTCAGTGAGGAATGCCTCCACCAGACTCAACTGTGGGAATTATCTACGTGCCCTTTTCTTGGTTGCTGAATGATATGGAAGGGCACAGCCCACTGTGGTAGTGTCACCCTAGGTAGGTGGGCCTGACCTGTCTAAAAATGGTAGCTGAGTAGGCCAAGAAGAGCAAGCCAGCAGGCAGCATATCTCTCAGTTGCTGGTTCCAGCGCCTGCCTTAATGATGGACTATAACCTGTAAGCCAAACAAACCCTTTCCTCCCCCAAATGCTCTTGGTCAGAGTTTACCACAACAATAGAGAAGTGAAGTAGGGCAACTGCAGAGAACAGAAATGGTTTCTATTGCCACAACAGCAGATGAGCAAAAGTGCAGAGACCAAGTGGATCAGCCCCCGTACAGAGGGAAGTCACAGACCTGTTACACTTCCTGCAATGGTGTGAGCGAGGTGCCTTGTATGCTTGGCAGACTTTACAATACTGGAGATACATGCTATCCTGAGGATTTTCC